GCCTGGCATGCGTGCGGCCTGGGTTCGATCCTCAGCACCACATACCAACAAAGATGTTGTGTCCGCCAAAAAATGAAAAATAAATATTAAAATTCTCTCTCCTCTCTCTCTCTCTTTCTCTCTCTCTTAAAAAAAAACACTTAATGTGACAGGGCTGGGGATGTGGCTCAAGCGGTAGCGTGCTCGCCTGGCATGCGTGCGGCCTGGGTTCGATCCTCAGCACCACATACAAACAATAATGTTGTGTCCGCCAAAAAATGAAAAATAAATATTAAAATTCTCTCTCCTCTCTCTCTCTCTTAAAAAAAAACAATTTAATGTGACACCATGGTAGCACTGTACGTGTATCATCTCTTGTAATGCTCACCACAGCTCTGCTGGGTAGATGCTGGATAGTTTGTGAAACTCTGTTATGGGATGAATTATGTCCCCGTCCTTACCCCAAAATATACTGATGTTCTAATCCCCAATACCTCAGAATGGGAACATATTTTGAAATAGGGTAGCTGTAGATGTAATTAAGATGAGCTGTTAGTGTAGGATAAGCCTTTAATTTGATATGACTGGTATCTCTATGAGAAGACACAGAGAGGAAATGTTTAGTGAAGACAGAGGTACACAGCAAGACAGAAGTACACAGCAAGAAGACAGTCAGGGGGTGAAGGAGGCATCCTTGGAGGCCATTATGGAGTGATGGACCTATAACCCAAAGAATGCAAAAGGTCTCTAGCCACCACCAGAAGCTAGAGAGGCATGAAAAGATTCTCCCCTTCAGGTTTCAGAGGGACCATGGCCCTACTGAGGCATTGATTCTGGACTTACAGCCTCTGAAACTGTGAGACAATAAATTTCTGCTGTTTTAAGCCCCTACATCCACCCCAGTTTGTGGCATTTTTATAGCAACTCTACAAAAGGAATATACCCTCCAAGTCAAACTGACCTTGGGCTGTTCTCTCTATGGATGACTTTGCTATCCCTGGAGTGCCATGACACCACTGAGCCAAATATGGACATGAGGTGGCGTGGAGCAAAAATATTGTCCAACGGGGGCACTCCATTCTGGATAGTGACAAACCAGCCCAGTCAGCTCCTTTACATGTGTGAAAGTGAAGAGGAGGCAGCAGAAAGTATCAGAAGGAGGAGGGCACCCTTTCCTGACAAGCCACTTCAGTCACAGTCCTTTGCTTAACAAGGATGGGCTTTGGAAATACGCTGTTCCTCCTAACAGCTCATCTCTCCACCTCACCTGAGACTGCTCACTTGTTTCCTTTGCACTCTGAAAGGACCCGAACAAACAAGAATAATCCTAAATTTAAAAAAAATTAAAATTACTATTTCCATTTCACAGTTGAACAAACCGAAGCTCCAAAAGGTTAGGTAATTTACCCAGGGTAACGTGGCTAATAAATTGCAGAGATAGGTCTTGGTGGCTTCTGTTCTACCACCATATTCAGATTAACTATCATCCCTATGAGTTTAATCTGGGGTTTCCCAAGCAGAGACTCTTGGGATGAGGTGGGGTTCGTTGTTAGTATCCCATATTTCAGTTCATGCTCCCTAAAGAGTACAAAATAGCCACACACAGGCCCAAGTAGGGTATATATTAGGTAGTGATCTTGATAAGCCACTAAAAAAGTGATTGCTCCCTCTCTTAATTTGGGTCCCAGAACTGACTTCATTCTTGCATTTCTACATGCATTTATTCCATTAATATTTAGTAAATACCTTCCATGTTTTATAGCCTTTGTGGATTAGTGGGTTCATGCCTTTTTGTTTTGTTTTGCTTTGGGGATTGAACTCAGGACCTCACTCATGCCAGGCAAGTGCTCTAACATTGAGCCACATCCCCACTTAGGTTCATGCAATTCATTAATTTGAGGAGTTATCTTTCCAATCCTTAACCACTATTGTAGTATCCCTGTCCCTAAGCAACAAATATGACATTTACTATAGAGGAATTCACACAGGAAAGGGAGATATGCCTAAAGTTATTCATGTATAATCTGAGGAGACAAAATATTATCACATAACATGGAGCATTAGAGGTATAGGAAGGGCATAAGCAACTCAAAATGTTTTGGTGATGACTGAATTAAGTCTTTTGCATATTGTAGGTGCTCAACCAGATGTTTATTGACTAGGTGAAAGAATTTGGGCCATGTAACAGTTAGGAATTACTTATCATGATGAACAGTTGTAAACCCCTTTCTTCAATAATTTATTATAATAATTATTTTTATTACTTCTTCTTTTGCAGTATTGAGTATTTCAAAGACTTACCAGGCCCTCTCCAGAAAGACAAAGAAATATCAAGAATCACATCAATAGCCTGATGTGAGTCTTTGGCCCCATAGCCAGCTGCTCTCAGGCAGTATCCCCTGAGACTCTGGCTGAGCTGCCTCCCTTTGATCCCCAAAGGGCTGGCACAAATCTCTAGACACATTAACTGGTGAAATGAAATCTGCTAGGATTTCTCACAGTTAGGATAGTAGACATGCTTTATTCAGTTCAGTTATGCTAGTTCTCTTGATCAAACACAACCCTAATCCTCCAAACCAGCATCCTTGGCACTGGTTCATCAAGGAACCTTTCCCTTGGGGGCAAATGACACTGATCTTGGGGACCACTACTGCCTCTTTAGGACTGGACATCAAGTGTGGACCCAAAAAGTTGGCTGGCTGAATTAAGCTAAAGGACAGATAATTCCAGGGAGGAAATACAGAGACAGACAATCAGATTATCTGCCTCACACTGTCAGTGTCTCCAGGTTTCAGTTTGATTTCCAGTAGAATGTCAGGGATGATGGAATTATCCAACCCATGACCATAATTCCAAAAAAGCCCATAGCTGGGCTCTCCCTGCCAGAAGATAATCAAATCAACTGGATTATTTTTTTAACCTAACAAAATAAAATGCTACACAGATCTCACTTTTAAAATCAAACTGGAATTGAGTTTTTTAATTATCAAAAAAGTGATTTAGCCAACATTTTTTCCCTCAACAGCCATAGTGAATAAGAAATTACAAAGCATAACTCTGACCTTGGCCTATTTCACTTTCTATCTCTTCCCTTTTCCTTTTCCCAGCAGCACTCTTGAGACTGGGCACAGTGGCACACTCCTATAATTCCAACCATTTGAAAGACTGAGGCAGGAAGATCACAAGTTCAAGGCCAACCTGGACACTTTAGTGAGATGCTATCTCAAAATTTTAAAAAAGTAAAAAGGGAATGTTAGCTCATGGTACTAGACCTCCAATACTGGGTGGAAAAAAACACCCAATATTACTCTTGGAATCACAAGACCTCACCTTAGATAGAGGACATTGGCTAACTCTCCATGGCAGGGACAAGGAGTTTTGTCAAAGGATTGCTTTGTTCTTTCCACACATAGAGGGTTTTGTGTTTTTTTTTGCCTGAAACTGTTAAAATTTTCATCTGTTTAAAGTCTGGGGGCTGTTTCCAGGTATTTTAGTGTACCAGAAGGAAAGCAGAACTGAGCAGGTTAATGAGAAACCCAAATGTCCTTCTTAGTGAAACAGAGTCTTCAATCTTGAGGATTCCAACATGGCGGCGATCGCAGAGAGATCAAGTCTCTGACCTCTTCAGCTGTGCGGGCATAGGGACTCGTAAACAATCTAAATCCTGTTTGCTCAGGATCACTAGGCAATGCTGAGCTGACGTGGATCTGGGGCGATCAGTCTGGACCTCTCAGAACACACACTGAGCCCGGATCGGCTGCATTCAAGCTCTGGTTCGCCTGCTTCCCACAGACAAACAGCTGTGACTCAGCACTAATCCATCCGGCTGAAACAACTGGTCAGCCCTTCTGATCCTATGGAGGTAAATGCCAACCGAGCCTTCATAGGTAGTGGCCACAGGTTTGAAACGGGGCTTGGGAGAGACAGTAAGGACCCACCCATTGCATTGGTCACCCAGCAAA